TGTATTTTTCCCTCCTCACTGCTCTTTTTTTCTCCTCTCCAGTGGTTTTTAACTGGGGGCCTGGCTGCCCAAAAACATTTTGTAGTGTGACAAAAGTGTCATTTTGATTCTTCTGCCTTCATTCTGGGTTTCCCAAGGAGGGTAAAAGTGGACTATTGGGATGTGCATTTTACTCTTGCATGACAAAAATGATCTTTCTTCTATGTGAGGACTAGTCACTATAAAATATCTGGCCCCAGAAATTCCAGTGATGGCAATGCTTACCTTCTTACCTCCAGAATTTCTCACCTCAACCAAGATATATTTATGATAAGTATTTATCCAGTTTTTGTGTGTTTATAGGTTAGAAAAGGTGATAATGCATCACTATTTAGCTATGTCTGTCCTTGAACTCAGGATCATACTGACTCTGTTATGGAGTCCTGAGATTGAGATACATACCACCATAGAAAGAGTTACACAAGTTTATCCCAGGCATGTCAACTTGGTGTTCCCAGGAATTGTGATCCCTTCTGTCTGCATAGATTTCCAAAATGTTCCTGTGTATCATGGTCACACAGCAATGCTTATTCAGACCCATCTTTGAAACATATTCCTGTTGTTCACCAGTGAATCCCTCTTCTGTGGCATCCCTCCTAAGCATTCTTTACTTTTGTCCCAGGCTAGATGGCAAAACTGCAGCTCATTGTCAATACACATCAAAATAATCATTACTTTTTATTTATGTTTTTCATTGTCATTCCCCCCTCCCTATACATTTTGTGTCTTTCTGCATTTTAGCCCATGTAAACACCCAACCTATAGTTATAAAAGGAGTGTCAAATGTCTTGTCTTCTCAGAAGCCCCCAATCCATTTCTCCTTTATCACTTGTTCCAGTCTTAACTGTGTGTCCTTGTGACTGTTTAAGAGATAATCTGGACCCTTATAATCTTTGTATATCAGCTGGATGAGTTGTTAATGTAGACAGAACTAGAATGACCAGTTTGGATGAGTGTGACTGCTGTCAAAAAATAGCAAGCTTGAATTCTATGCCTCTAGGGAATATCCTTAGGGTGCAGGTTAGGCACTGGCCTCTCCTCCGTCCAAACATGGAATTCATCCTTCTGTGCTTGAATCATATTCTTTTCTAACAAAAAGGGATATAGCTGCCCAGTAATCCCAATGCCACTGGTTTCTCTACAAGACTGGGCTACTTTTCACAAATGCAAATTTTAAAACTATGACAGACATTACTCAATAATATTTGCTAAAAGTACTAAAATGAACTCTGTTTCAGTTTCTTGGCCTGAAAAGGCATATGGGGCCCATTTGGGGGCTTCAGGAGAAAGGTCACTGCCTATGTGGACAGGAAACAGCCCGGAAAAATTCATGTTTCATCCAAGGGCCCTGCCCTAAGAGCACACAGAGTGTCCTCAGGAGGTCCCAGGGAGACCCCTCCAATCCACTTCCTCAGCTTCTCTGTGGAAACCAGTGCCAGGACAGGCCCTTCTGTGGAGTCTGCCAAGAACAGCCTATTCCACAGCTGTATAATCTGTTCCATATTACAGTCTGAAGTAACCCATTGGAAAAAACTGCCTTTTCCAAAAGATCTGAAAACATAATGTCTCTATATTCTCATTGCATTTCTTCCCGAATCTTTTCTGGGAGCCACTAGTGTAAGTTTCCTGATATGGTTTCTAAGCCTCTGGTGAAATGACTTATTACCTGTAGAGATATCCAGCCAGCCTAATTTATTCCCAATACTCTCAAACATCTTTGGAGCTACAGCCCCAGTATCTCCCTTGGTTTGAAGTACTCATGGACACTACACAGGTACTGGATTCATCTCCTTCCCTGATGTTACTTCCATTTTAATTATTGTGTATGGTATCTGCCACTCTCTATAGAGGTAAGTAATGTACTATGTAGCTATCTGCTAGCAACCTTTCAGAATAGATGTGCTCTCTACTTAAAGTCTGTGATCTCTGTTGAAAGGTTATCCTAAACTATCTTCCTCTTTTCTTTTTGGTAGTAGATTGACCCTCCCTGAAGGATCTACTTGAGTGGATGAAATCATATCTGTAAGGATGCCCTAGAGCTCTGAGGGTAACCATCACCACAGTTTACACTGGGCTCATTTTAAGTTGAACATAAATTCAGAGGCTTGAAACTCTTGAAGCACAATCTCTCAGTGTGGCCCTAACCTATAGACTGTGGTTCAGCACCAAGCAACTTTCTTATCGGTAGGAATGCATGATATGAGCTTGAGCAGAGATGCTGTCTGCTACCATGCTAACAACTTCATCAGAGTGAAATACAGGCAGGAACTCAACTATACAAGCTTAGCTCAGACAATTCCTGAAGCCCAAGTCATTGTCTGGTCACAGAATGGTATCCAACCTCAACAAGAAACAACTTCAAAAATGTCACCACTCTCACTTGTAACTTGCTTTCATGAACCAATTAAACCTAGGATTGTAAATGTAATACATATATAAAAATAGTGAGATAGCAGAGAAAACCCTTCAAAATCAATTTACTTGGGGACAAATAAAACTATGAAATGAGCATAAGCAGACCTGAGCACTCTTAGTCAAAAAACTGAAATCACAAACACTATTCAGTCTGAAATATTTCAAAGATGCACAAGACATCAGAAGTGAAAAATTCCACATCGGACCTCATTGAGTAGATCTCAACCAACCGAGAAAGTCTACTAACACTATCACAAAATATTGCCTTCAGACATGCATGTAAAGTGAATAAAAAACAAACCAATATCATGTTTGGACTTGATTTCATAACACATTGTTCTCTGTATACAAATATTCTGAAATCTGAAAACTCAGAAACACTTCTTGTCATAAATATTTTGGGTAGATAATATCCATCCTGTCTAAATAAACACACTGGGGAAACCTAGAAATGCCAACACAATGTCTTAAATATGTTTCTGTTTCAAGTGAAAATATTAAGTCTCAATAGAGAATGTTTAAGATGTTTTAAACTTAAGGAAATCAAGGAAAGGCTCCATTATTTCAGAGCAAGAAGGATGACCAAATCTAAGGACTTCTAATTGGGGCCTTCAACAATGGACATTGTAATTCGGATAGGTTGAGGGATTGTTAGCTTCAGATTTTCTCCTCTCAATCCTTTTAATTATACTCTGGAAATCGTCACCAATAGGATTCACCTCATTTATGAAAGACTGTTATACTTTATTAATAGAAACTTCACTTAAAATATATTGGCAAGTATTTAGCTGTGCTCCCAACATGGAACTAGTCTTTAGCAGAGTTGAATATTTTCTATAAACTCAGAGGATGTAGCAATAATAATTAAAGGAAGAATGGCACTGTGGAAACATGAAAATACACTATCATAAAATTTCTCTAATATCTTAAGGAGAAATATAAATGAAATCAAAGTGACCCAATAAATGTGGAAAGCTGAAATCTATAGATATTAAAACAATTGTAAATCAACTAGCTAAACATCCAGTTATGGATGAATGCATAAAATGTTATATATACATATATACGCATATATGAGTATAATTGTACATACAAGTATATTCATGTATGTGTTAACACATATATATGTATATATACATAATATGTATATATACTGTTCTCATAACTAATTTGATGTCTCATGTACAATATAATATTGTTTATTACTTGTGACAGCATGTATGAACTTGATGGAATTGTGTGAAGTGAAAAGGGCTATATATAGACAAAGCTTCCTGATCTCCAACATTTGTGGAAATGAGGGAGACATGACATCAAATAAGTAGAGAGTAGAAAATTGATTACCAAAGGCTGTGAAAGGAACATGGAGGATAAAGATTGCCTTCTGAAACAAGAACATAGTTAGGAACAATATTCTGTAGTGTACTATAACAAAGTGCAGTGGGTGTACTCAGCTATACATGTTTAAGGAGATAGAAAAAGGAATTTTAAATATCCCTAAAGGTTAAAGTGATATATGTGTTAATTATGCAAGTTTGCTTACTGCATATTGTGCTTGTGTATAAAGACAAACTCTTATTTGTGTCAATTATATGTGTATATTGTGTAAGTGTATGCAAATTTATGAGAAGGGTGTTGTGTATCCTGCTCTATTGTTCTCTACCCTATTCCTTTGAGACAGGATCTCTCACTGAACCTAAACTTGGGCTGGTTTCTGGCAAATGCCTGTAATTCTCCTAATTGTACCTCTCAGAGCAGGGTTTACAAACACAGACTATGCCATTACATTTTTTGTGAGTCTTAGGGATTTGAACTAGGGTTCTCACACTTGCACTACAAATGCTCTTACCCATGGACTGAGCCAATTCCCATCCCAATAAAAAAATGTTTAAACACACACCAATTATGCTATATAATTTTATTACTTCCAAAACATTCAAATTCCACTTGGGCTGATTTCCAGTGTCTGTAATGACACTTTATATTCTTCCGTATTGGATCTGGACTCAGGTTTGGTAAAGATTTGCTCTATTAATTTTTCAACATTCCAATCTTAAACATCACATTATCTTCACAATGCTCGCACTTCCAAAAAAAAAAAAAAAAAATCAAAAACTCATTACTGTCTCACTCTTTTGTAGAAAGTCCAAGCTCTCTAGCCAGTCTACCCCCTTTCACACAAAAACTCAAAGGTGCTCTAACTTGACTTCACCATCTCAGCTGCATCTTTCTACTTAAACTTGCTCCTTCCCCATCACCATCTCTTTCTAGCTCACCCAGGAGACCTGGAGATCTTTCCCATTAGTTTAGTGGTACCCTCCCTCAGACCCCAGTGGTTGGGCTTTGCATCTCAGCTCCTATCCAGCCCTACCACCCTTCTGGCTTGCCAACACGCATGCGCAGTGTCAAGTCCGCCCCGCCCGGCCGCTGCTGCGGAAGGCACAGCTCTCAGTAAAGCGCACTTCCTCTGCTGGTGTCCACTGAGGGAGTGCTGGTTCCAAGAGCTCCAAGTCGCAGCGGTCCTGCTCTGATCAGAAGGCGCAGACATGTCGGAACAAAGTAAGGACTTGAGCGACCCTAACTTTGCACCTGATGCCGCCAACTCCGAGGTGCAGGAGAGCTCTGAGATTCCGGTGGGGGTCCCTCCTCCCACATCTCCAGCCGCGATCGTCGCAGAGGCACCAGAAGCTCCTGAAGGCCCTATGGCAGCCCGGCAGGCCTCGCCGCCGCCTCCAGAAAGGTTAGAAGATATTGACCCTAAGATTCTGGAGCAGGCCATAGAGGAGGGCCGCGCCCACAATCCCGATAGCCCGGTCCGTCAGCTGCCAACACCACCCGCCCCGGCCCAGGTGGTGCAGAAGGCGCACGAGCTCATGTGGTACGTGTTGGTCAAGGACCAGAAGAGGATGGTCCTCTGGTTCCCAGACATGGTGAAAGATGTCATGGGCAGCTACAAGAAATGGTGCAGAAGCATCCTCCGGCGCACCAGCCTCATCCTTGCCAGAGTTTTTGGGCTGCACCTGAGGCTGACCAATATCCACACGATGGAGTTCGCCCTGGTCAAAGCCCTCAGCCCAGCAGAACTGGACAGAGTGGCGCTGAACAACCGTATGCCCATGACAGGCCTCCTGCTCATGATCCTGAGCCTCATCTACGTGAAGGGCCGCGGGGCCAGAGAGGGAGCCGTCTGGAATGTGCTGCACATCCTGGGACTGAGGCCCTGGAAGAAGCACTCCACCTTCGGAGACGTGAGGAAGATTATCACCGAGGAGTTCGTCCAGCAGAATTACCTGAAGTACCAGCTTGTTCCCCACAGCGATCCTCCTGAGTACGAGTTCTTCTGGGGGTCCAGAGCCAACCGTGAAATCACCAAGATGCAGATTATGGAGTTCCTGGCCAGGGTCTTTAAGAAAGATCCCCAGGCTTGGCCCTCCCGCTACCGAGAGGCTCTGGAGCAGGCCAGAGCTCTGCGGGAGGCTAATCTTGCTGCCCACTGCCCCCGCAGCAGTGTCTCTGGTGATTAGGAAGGTCCCCAGCATGTTGATAATTTCTGACCCATACTTGGGCTGTATAAGGGTGGGGTTGGGTCATTAGAGTATTCCACATTCACAGTGCAGTATTTCATGTGTAACCTTTAAGTTTTCCTTACAGTGCTTTTGTACCTTTCAATGCAATATATTCATTTGTGTTCGCTTGGAGCGTGTTAAGGATTTATGCATGTGCGTTTACAAGTAAGCAAGTGGATGCTTTCACTTCTGTGCTTTTTTGTACAAGAGATGTGCTGTGCTGAACCTGTGAAATCCATTGAGATGTTGTGTATCTATTCTTTGTATGAAAGTGATGATCTGTATCAACATAAAAGCCCAGGAGAGTTAGGAGGTGAGCAAAGCAGGCCTGACCAGAGAAAGGTCAAGGGCCCTCTTATATGAACTCAACTGGCACAGGAAGCATCCCTGTGGAATGGACTGATTTGAACTGGAATGTTCTCAGTGTAGGCACTTAGCACACCCTACCAAACATGTATACAACCCCACCATAAATAAACTTTGAAGTGAGCATTAAAGATCCTTGTGGAATAATTTCTTTGGGGGGGTATTTATTTTGTGGGAAGGGGGGTTGGGATGGGAGGGAATGAGGAAGATCTGCCCATGCACAGCATGCACAAACATGGTGTTCAACTAAAAGAGTGGAAAACCATTACCCAAGACCACTCAGGGTTACAGCTTTATTTTTCTATTTAATCAAACTGGTGACACTTCAAAGACTTTGACATTTAAGGGGTGTAATAATCAAAGAAAAGTATCTTATCACATCACATGGGGATAATTAATAACAGGTATTATGAAGTGACTTGCCCCTTCCCTGTTTTTTTTTTTTTTTTTTTTTTTTTTTTTTTTTTGGGGGTTTTTAAAAAACACCCAAACAAACCCCCTTTGTTTTTGGGGGGGGATGGGGGGGGGTGTTTTTTTTTATTTTTTCTTTTTATGTTTTTTATTTTTGGATTTTTTAAACTGTTAAGTTTTAACACTTAACAGAATGAAACATCGTTACCAAATCCTTTATGAGCACCTTATCCTTTATTTTATCCTCCCCCTATCCATAAGAGGTAGGAGGTTACTGAGTCAGCATGGAGGAAGAAATATGTAAAGAGTGTGGGTAATAAACTGTCCTAAAAATCATACAGGTTATATGCTGGAGCCTTGACTCTTAGCTCACCCACGGCCACCACACATATGAGCACCCTTTGCCTCCCTGCTGCATACACTAAGGATTTGATTTTTTTTAATTAATTCCAAAATCTTTTACAGGAAAACAGGCTTCTGGGTGTATAAATTCGGGAACTCAGTTCCAGAAAGAATTGTCAACCTAATCAAGTCCCTAACATGCTTCCGGGTGAAGACAAGATTTGAAACATGATCTTTCCAGAGGGATGAAGATGAGGGAAGCTTTTCTGAGAGTGGTATCAGTAAGAGTCATGACATTTATGGAATAGGGGAGTAGCTGGGTTTAAGAAGTTGCCTCCAGCCACACAGCTACATTTGTGTCTCAGGATTCTGTCGGTTACAGCAAACAGTGGGTGATGAGAGGGTGGCTGGGATGACAGTCACAGTAAGCAGCAATAATTGGGGAGAGATCATTAGGAAGCTTTTGGTCTGAGGAGAAAGAGGGAGAGAAGGGGCTTTAATGAGATTAGACACCCTTTAGAGGCCAGGTAGGAAAAGGCATCTAACCAAAGTTAGAACCCTTTTCTGGAGAAGGTGGATGAGGGGGCAGCATCTGTCACAGCATATTTTTAAAAAGTAAACAGTCCTATCCGTGTGAAAGAGTAAGTGCAGAACCGACAGCACTTATAGCATTATCTAACTGGCAGAGCAGGGAATGAAAATGTGCATAAACCCCAGTGTCTGTGAAAATTTATTCTATCCCATTTAGTTGTTCCCATAGTCTTTTACAGGAGTGAGAGTGGAGAGCGAGAGCACGCAGACATTGGCAGTAACCCTAATATGGGCGACCTGGCTTTCAGCACACTTCTTCATGGAGAGCTGTTGTTAGATGTCATGATTATTTAAAAATTTTAGGATTTCTCTGCTGTAAGAGAAAGATAAAGAGATAAACAGATCCAAGATAACTGACAGTGGCATACTAGCCAAAGCTTTGCAGAGAAATAGGATTGTGAGAAACAAGGAGCTGATTCCAGGCAGGCACAAGGGCAGAACTGCTCTCCAACTGTGTTGTCTTGGAGACAGCTAGCCATAGAAAGGAAGCTTTGCAGATATGGAGTGTTTAATTCACGACACCTGGCCCTGTAGATGCAGCAGCCGGAGGACACAGGGAAAAAGCACTCTATGTCTTTCTTACATTTCCATATTGGCTTGTAAATTAAAAGAGAGGAGGGTTTTCCAAGTGTTTTTGGAAAAGTCCTTAAGATGCAGAGCTAGACCAGTCAGGAAACAGTTAGCAGATGCTCGGTTTCCGAGGTCGTCACTGCGATGCTCGGATACTCTAGCTGGGAGAGATTCCGATTCTTTTTATGTGCCAACAGTAGCTTCATTTTTACTTTAATATTTTACTTCCACAGCACAGACATATTTGTATTCCTTTTTATTTTTAATTAAAATTATTTTAAAATGTTTTCATTGGAGTAGAATTACATCATTCCTTCCTTTTTTCCTCCTTCCAGCCTCTCCCAGCTATTTCAGATTAATACTTCTTGTTATTTCCCATTACTTGCACATTAATTGATTTCATCTTTAAAGTCCTATAAAGAAGAAAGAGTGTTTGGAGTTTTAATATGAATTAAAATACCTAGTTTAAGCTGTCCTCAGAGGCAATATATGGTTTTAAACTGTATCATAATTAAATACAAACAGGATATTTTAAATTAACCAGTGAAGTTATATCTTTGCTACATATCCTGGTATTCACAGATTTACCTTAATATTGCCTGACCAACTCAGGACACCCCTTCCTGGGGCTGTTTATAACATCCATATTTAAACTTCTACTTAGAAAACACATGATGTTTATAAATGTTAATTACATTTTGTCACTCTCTTGCAGACTTTTAGATATTTGAAGGTAAAAAGTCCTATCTGACCTGCCTGACATGTGACTGAAGCTCTATTACTTTGGGCCCGGCACAAGGATGTTCTTGGCAAATATTTTTTATTTTATTTTTTTCAAGAAACCGTATCCTTTTCTATTCTCCTTTTATTAGAAATAGTCATTCTCTTATATAAGGCATCCTAATAACAGTCTCCCCTCTGTTCCTCCCAGTTCCTCCTCACCCCTCCTTCTACCCTGATCCACCGTTTCCTGTCTCTCATTAGAAAACAAACAGGTTTCTATGGGACTATAATGAAATAAAATGTGACACAACCAAATAGGACAATACAATCAAACAGAAGAAAACAAGCTCAAGGAAAGCATAAGGAGCAGATACAGGTGCAGAGTTCCATTCCCTCGAACACTCAGGATTTCCATGAAAATGCAAAGCTGGAAGTGATAATATATACATGAAGGACATGAACACTCAAAATGTTAGAAAAAAATCAGTACCTTCTCACGGGAAAGAAAAAAACAAGAACAGCCAACATATTCAATTAGGCTGAAACATAGAAAAGAGGTAAGTAGCGGAAGAAAAATATGAATGCAGAAAACATTTGAAGCTGGTTCAAGAGCCGGTCCTTAAAAAAAGAATAACAATGTGAACCAGTCTCTAATAGTTCCAGGGATTTTTCAAATGATAAGTAGTGCAAATTAACAACTACTTACTGCATAAATGCAGCAGGAACACAAGTAGCTGAGTGGAGCTGGGAGGAGGAAAATGGGGAAGGGAATGATGTAATTCTATTTCCATTAAAACACATTAAAATAAGTTTAATTGAAAAAATAAAATGAACAAAAATGGGTCAGTGCTGTAAGAATAACACACAAAGTTATGTTAAAAAATTCAATTTAGTTGGTCAAGTATGTTTTATACAGTTAGCAATTAAAGATATATAAAAGTGAATTAGTGTCCCATTCTATTTACTAGTCAATTATAATCAGCATACATATGTGCTTCCATAGTTGGACATATGCTACATGTTTTTTTCTGTACTCATCGGGGTGCACATTGAGCAGCCAGTGTGCGGGAGAGGAAATGCGGGGAGTTAGAGATTCAAGAATGAACAGGATGATTATTGTCCTGTGCTACGGAAGGCATTCACTAGATTGAAAAAGGCATATGAGGAACAAGAATTACCCTAAGCTCAAAAAAAACACCCTAGACCCAGCGCTAAGAGAGAGGGTTGAAAACAGATGTGCACAATTCAGATTTTCCAATATAAGTGATGTATAAATTTGCATCTATTTTATAAAAGGTTATTAACAACCTGAATGTGATGCTGGGAAGAGTGCATTTGACAGAAGCATCTGTTTGGGTCTAAGGACTGTGGTGAGAGCACATAAAGATTCATGATACTATGTTTTTTTTTCTTGAAATGAAAGTAAAGAAAAATTGGAAGTATATTTCATTTCAAGTTGTATAAAATATCCTTTTATCTCTTAATTTGCTCCATTATTCCATTTCACTTAGTAAGGGTTAAAAGTCTTTAAATATATTCCATATTTTCCTGTATCTACATAGTGAATTTGACACTTTATTTTCCCAGCAAGTTAATATGAGAATATCTTATGGCCTTTGATGTTTGATGCATACATATATTCATTTATTTGTTTAATAAAATATTGAACTTCATTGTGTTGTTAACTTGTTGTACGAACTTATAGATATTGGTAATTTTTTAAAATGTGGCTTCAAAAAGTGTATATATTTCCTATTCATAAAAATTATTTATGTGTCATTAACTGACTTGATTATTATCAACTGTCTAGGTATAATAATATCTGTGGTCAAAATTTTTCTAATTTTATTCAGTAATGCTTCACAAAGTAAAGATTTGATGATACCAATGATTATCTTACAGCACAATGAAATAATTTTTTTTTTCTTTTGGAAGTTGAGGGATGGAGGAAAAGG